TCGGATGGACCCATTTCAGAGGAGGTTATCCACCTCAAGCTTCAAGGCAGCATATCGCTCTGGGTCCATCGCTCTCCTCTTTTGGCGAAGTGGCTTGGCTTCACTGTCGATGTTTAATGCATGACAAATAACATTCGGGCTGATCCCAACCATATCTGCATGCGACCATGCGAACACATTGATGTTTTCCCTGAGGAAGTTGGTCAGGTCGGTAGCGAGCTGGGGATTGAGATTTTTACCAATCCTTAGCACCTTGCTTGGTTTAGTCTGGTCGACCAGTACTTCAGTCAGGTCCTCAACTGGCCCACTGGAAGGGTAGTCTTGAATGCGAGGATCTATATTATCCTCGGTTAGGCCAGGCTGTGGCTCTATCCGGCTGATCACCATTGTCTGGTTGTGATCGCCGCGCGAGATGCCTTTGCCTTTGCACGCTATCTGAACTGCTTTCACATAGCAGTCTTGAGCTGCGCACTGAGATTGGCTAACTTCTCCAATTCCCATTGGGGTGGGGAACTTCATTTTCAAATGGTATACTAAAGTGACCGCCTTGAAGTGTCTTAGCAAAGGCCGCCTTAGAATTCCATTAAAGGCGAATGGGCAATCCACTACCAAGAACTCGATTACTCTGGTCACTTCGTCGAAGTCACCCAACGTGACTGGGAGTGAGATCGTGCCCTTGCCATATAGAGGGAACGAGGCAGGCTTCAGGTCTGCCTCGTCCAAATTCACTCTTTCGAAAGTTGAAGCGAATAGAATGTTCATAGCACTTCCGTTATCCACTAACATTCTCTGGACATTATGGCGCCCTATGAGGGGCGTTATCACAAGGGCATCTTCATGAGGATGATACAGCCGAGCCACATCTTTTTCGAAGAAGGAAATTTCTTCCTCCTGGCGAACCTTCTATGGTTGCTGTGCCACGCTCATCGCTCGGATGTGTTCGTGATGTGCCTCGCGAGCATACCTCTCTTGGGCACCTCGCGAGTTTCCCGCGAAGTGCGGTCCCCTGAAAATTAAATTGAGAGTGCACACTCATTTCTGATCACGGCGCTTCTTACTTGACTCCCCCTGATTTTTCTCTTCTGAGGGAGCAGAGTCATCAATATACTCCTTGAAATGTCCCTGCTTGATAAGGTTTTCGATCGCCTGCTTGAGAGCTCGACATTCATCAGTATGGTGCCCATTGTCTCGATGATAGCGATAATATTTTTTATTATTTTTGGCTGTCGCTGGAGTTTTCATGGGCTCGGGCTCTCCGAGCAAGCTGACCTCCTCGGATTTATTGAGAATAGCCGATACAGATGCGTTCAGTGGAGTATATTAGTTTCTGTCGCGATCGCGACGAGGGACTAGAGCATGGGACTTTTTGGGCTCGTAACGAGGTTTCTTCCCTCTTCGCTGATTGTCTGCGTCCTCCCTGCGATCAGCTCTTTTACTATCCTGCCGACCAGGTGCACTGCCCGAAGCGCCGTGGTTGCAACGGCGGAGTGCCGCCATTGAATTTTCTATTCGGAGGTACTTCTTTACGAGATTGTAGAATCCAGTGAGGGAAACATCGTCCTCAGCCTGTAATTCTTTCCACAGGTCGGTCTGTGGACGGACTCCGGCTATGATGAGAGTCCAAACAGACTCTTCAGGAGTATGAGCCACCTTGTTGAGTTCCCTGTGGAAACGGTCAATGTAGGACTGGAGAGATTCATCCCTTTCTTGTCTTATATTGCTTAAGTAGCTCAAAGGCATCGAGAACTTCCTATTTGCTTGAAAATGCCTTAGGAACGTCGCGCTCATCTGAGGCCATGAACTGATCAATCTCGCTGGGAGCGACCTGAACCACCGTTTGGCATGGGAGGTCAAAGTCATTGCCAAACAACGACATTTTGCTAGATCTGAGACCTGGTGAAGTTCCATCAGGTCGTTAAATTCATACAAATGATCCTAAGGATCAGAGTTCCCATCAAACGCCCGCATGTCGGGCATCCTAAATCCTGGTGGGAGAGGAGCGGCTAACACTTCGGTAGAGAAAAGGGACGCGGATGCGACCTGCCCCTACTCGTTTTGCTGAGCTCGCAGTCTGTCTAGAGCTCGCTACAGCTCCTCAATTTGCGACAATGGAGCCGCTTGGGGATTGCTTCGCCCATGCGAGTTCGACCCTCGCGATTGCGGTTGAGAAAAGTCCAGAGGTCGGGTTCCTCTTCACCTCGGTCGTTGGTTCTGGCCACTCTTGACACACGTCGGCTAGAGGCGTGTGATGAAGATGAAAGGTGCGGGGTATTTTCACGACCTTCGCGGTGGTAAGAACCACCCCGTGAAGTGTAGGACCCTCTCGCATGGTGACGATCAGGATCGTTTTGCTGGCGGTGATAGGAATCGCCCCATCCAGCATTTTTGTGGGTGTGCTCTTGCGACGTGGCATGGGATAGCTCAGGCTGCATCCTTTCATCGAGTCTCAACGAGATTGGTATTCTGCTCGGGACGCGGTCGGTATTTGCTGGCCCTTTGGAGCACGTGGGCTTGCTTTTTGCCACTTGTTTACCTTTTCGTCTACGCGCTGTAGTGCTCGCAGTACAGGCTATTTCCCTTTGCCGCTCTTTCGCGCGACCTGCAGGCGTTTTTGGCGGTTGCACCGCCGCACCTGAATTGGATGGCATGCCTTGGTCCAAACGGTCCAGTCTTCGGTTGACCATCTGGAGAATATTGTCAAACCTCTTCAAGTAGCTTCTAATAACGGGGTCAAGCTGTGAACTTGACGGGATATCTCCTGGAGCATTTTGCGGGTCCGAAGGTTTTTTGGAAGAAGCGTCCCCCTGAACTTGGGGGAGCCCCTCAGCGCCCTGGTTGGTTTGCTCAGGTTCTGGTTGGCGGGCCATTTGTTGATGTAGGACCGTTAGGTTGGAGATTCTCCTGATGAAGGATGAACACTAAACCAGCCCTCCTTCTAGCGCCAAACTGTTGATGCGTGATTTTGACACCAACGAAACGCACGTGTGAAATGTTGAGTTGGCCTCAAAAGACACACGTGAATGGTTTGGAAAATGATACTAAATGCAGTGAGAGAGGAGTTTTAAAGTGGTTCGGATGCTAAGGAAGCAAATCCTACGTCCACTGATGTTTTTATTAATGATAAGGGTCAGGTCGCTTTAGACGACTGACTTTACACTGATGATACAAGGTATCAAAGACTGTCTTTTCTAGAGAGAGAGAGAGTTTTTTCAAGAGTAAAATGTGCGAATCCCCTTAATGAGAGAGGAGCTCTCATTTTATAGTGGAATGCCTTGAGGTAATGATCGTTGAATCTGCAAGTCGGTGGGATGATTCGTGCAAATCCTTCTTTTAGAGCAATTCACGTGATTTGCTGCAGGGATTGGACACGCAGGACTATCACAACTCCTTGCTGGCCTGATTTGCACCCATTACTCTGACGGAAGCAAGCTGTGGGGTGCAACCATGATCACACGATGCAGTTGCGCCAGAGTGCTAGAAGACTCTTTCCGAGGCCTGACCTTTCGTACTTAACTGGGTGCCACGTCAGCCCTATGTTCCCAGGCATAACAACATCAATTGTGAACCATTAAACTGCAACATTTTAATGATGTCAAATATAATGTTAACGGACAAAAATGCATAGATCTAATTATTCACAATTTTTTCCTCATAATATAGATTGTGGTAAATATTCGTATATGTATTTGTTTGTCTGATTCATGTTATTTTGTGAAAGCATGGTGTTCTTTTTCCCTTTGTGGGCTTTAGTACAGAATTAAAACTTTGTTGATATTACAGCTCTCAGAGTGGTTGGAGGCAAAGAAGCGGCTTGACTTTTGTTGAGAGAGATTATGCTCTCGTGTTGAACTAATTGCAAAGGCACTGGCAAAGCATCCAGAAGGCAGAAGATCCCAAATAAAGAGATTTACATTTCTACAGAGACTTAAAATCAAATCAAGCAAACTATTTATTAGTTTAAGAGTATAATCACGTCACCTGATAGTGATCTACACATATAGGAAGTTTCATGTCTCCTTCCTTACATTAATTATTTTACTTATACTGCACTGTCCAAAGATAAAATCCTAATCAAGTTTTCTAATTGTTGTTTATAATATTCTTTATACAGTATTTACACAAACTCATCAAAGAGTTGATAAGATAAAACCAAATAAAATTAAATGGTAGTGGTAGTGGTAAAGCCCCCTGATAATGCATGGGTGGAGTGATACTGATGGAGAGAGGCCACTCCTCAGTTTGAAACAAACATTTGTCTCCTCACCCCTTTCCTTTAATTACAATCCTGCTCAACTTATTACATTATATATATATATATAAGATAATGTTTTTTTTATTTTTTTTGATGACTAGAGATGTTCGGGTCAGTTTGAGCGTACCTCAATTAATTCAGAACTTTGAAATTGACGATTAAGTAAGCCTTTTGGTGGCCACCCCTTTTGGGGCATGTGGAGTACTCACACTTAAAGAGCTCATGAAACTTTTTTTTTGCTCTTTTTACCGTTAAGTCACCCATTGATGATTATAAAAGACAAGTTTTCTTCATAATTAAGGTTGTTTGAACTATATATTCAAATATGAACCTGAGAAATTTCAAAGGCACAATTTCTTTATCTTTTAGAAGAAGGAAATCTTGATTTATTAAACAGAGAAAAAGTTGATTACTGCTACTTTCCAAATTTTTGTTGATGGTATATATTTTCACAAGAAAGAATAATCAAAAGTAGACAAACAGAGAGAAGTAAGTTTTCATGATTGGCTACAAAGTGTGGAAAAAATTATGGACCACATCAACCTTAACTTAACTCTTACTTAACTTCCGTGGACCCAAACGCCCATTTCATATTCAATTTTGACAACAGAACCGGGCCATTACAGCCCATAAACAATATTTCATGTAGATTAGATACTTTTCTTCACTAAAAGATACATCTCCAGTCACAATTTATTTACAAGTTTACACTAAGCGAGGTCAGAATCAAACATCTCTGTCACCTTTCTCTTTGTAGCGTGGAACTTGATCTTTCCACATATTCCTTCTCATTAACAAACTATTCCCATCCATCTTCTCAATCTTTAATTCTCATGCCACTCTCAACACCTTTCAACCCTTTAATGGCAAGAAAAAAGTCCAGAGCTTCCACCACAGATGAATTATCGATAATAAAAGCAGCTGCATGGGCGTGGTACCAACACGGGTCCGGCTCAGAGGGGAAACCTATGGGCGAATTCGACATCACGAGAACGAGACAACTGCGAAAACCTTCACGTTACAAACTGGAAGCCATGAAAATCACAGAGCAAGAAGATCATAGTAACACACAACCCTCCTCTAAGAGTTCGAGTCCAGTCCATGATAATAAATCTCTTCTTGATCCTTACGAGATTGAAAGCATTTCCAAACGGCTGGATCAATTTATTGAAAACTCTAGTGGCAACAAGTTTTATGATGATAGGAAGAAAGTTTCAAGGGATGGTGATCATGACAGTGGTGGGAATGTTAGGAAGAAAAAGTCTAACAAATTGGGAGGGTTTTGGCAGCCAGTTTTGTGTGGGAGAAAGGAAGATATTGCGGCAGTAGACACAAGGTTTGTGGAGGGAAACGGCCGCCGGAAAAGGGTGTAGCGGTGGTTAAGTTGACAAGTTGCAGGCCACGAGTAACCCATGCCTAATGAATAATTTTGTGAGTTGGGTTTCTGGTATGGCATATTAAATTGGATCTACTGTACATGTGCAACTGTATTTCTGGAAACTAAGTGCTTCAATTAATTTACAGCGAGTTGATATATCTTCTATCATGCATGTACATTCTGATCGAATTTATAGTTTACAATTAGATTTGTTGATTAATTAATAAATCAATTTTTATCAAAGATTTGTTGTCTTTAATTATATTTACTTTGAGAAGCTGATAGTAGAAACCTTGTAAATGAAGTAGTAAAAAGCAAAAACAGAAAAGTTAGGGCATACATTAAGAAAGACTTGTAATATTTAAAAGAGTTTTAAAAAGAGATTGCATTTGAAATCATATATTCATTTTTATTAAAATATTCCTTACAATCCAAAGTTGTCTTTTGGCTTTAATCTTCTAAAACACTAATTTGAAATTCAAAGAAGGCATACACTATCAAAAAATTGCCGGAAAATACAATTTCTGCCTGAAGCAGGCTTTCTCCAGCGCGAAGTTTTCGCTAGCATATTGTCTATAATTGTACATAACTGAACCAATTATATATATATATATATATTTCATTACTATAATTGTACGATCCACGAACCTTAATCGGCTTACACATTTTTGACATCTGCAAGGGTACAAATTAAGTAAGCCAAAAATTTCATATGGTTATCGAATTTATGGCAATTAGGTGGTACAATGTTTTCCAGCAGCAGCAGCACGTGGTTGATGTCTTATGTATTGTCTCTTGTTTGATAGGAACTTTGTGCGGGTAAAAGGAATCATCAATCCATATCACTGAATTTTGGTGGGAACCAACTCAAGATAGCCGATGGTGCCCACCACTTTATGTGGTTGCATGAAAGGGCAAACCAATGAGTATTTCTACTGAATTAACTTTAGTTCGATCTTTGTATTTGGCCAAGAAGCGAAAAAGATAAAAAGGGTAACATCAATATATTTTTCACATGACTATTATCAGATATATTGGAGGATTCTTAAACGTACGTATCCAATGTTTCTCAATTGCATTCTTCAACAACGTAAACTTGAACTGCAGCCTAAACATATCAATTAGTTTTGTGCTCTCATCGTAACTATCGAGAGTTAAGTTAAGATTACTTATGATAAACTACTTTGATCATTCGTTGGCTGATACTGTGCTGTTAAAAGGGTTCTAAAAAATCAAAACATGTCTATTGTCAGGGTATAAGTACTGTGTTTTAATAATTGTTGAGGACGAGAAGTTCCGGCTATTTATTGTGACAGTACTGTTACCATCTTCTTAAATTTGGATGGACAGTTACACCGCAAACTTTTCTTAAATTAAATTTTCATTTGAATTTGAATTTGAGAAACGCATGGTTGTTGACCTAGGGGTATTACAACTTAGATTATGAATTTAAGTTTAATTCTGCCGATTCCACCAACCTTGATCTATATCGTTTTCTCTTTACTAGCTAGCTTGCCCTTATTTATTTGAACTTCTGGTTGTACCCTTCGAACTTGATGATTTACAAGGTTTTCCTTGTAACTAATCACGGTTTAATTATGTTTTCTACTCTGTAATGTTAAAAGCACTTTTCTTGGAACAAATAACCTCACCCCAAAATATAATCCCTAATGTTTTTGGAAACAATTAAGAAAATCTGATTGAAAATGAAGAAAAGGCGTAATTCATTTTACCCCTTATGTTTTCCGAAATTACAACAAGCACATGCTGGTATGAAATATTACCTTAAACCCCCCATCCAATCCATCCTCGTATTTGACATTCATCTGTAATTTCCTAAAAACTCCGGTGGCTTCAAGGCGAAATTACTCCAACCAAAAAGTGCCATATGATCGTCTCCAGTGCCAACCCATCTGCTTGAACACTCAATCCATGGCCACACTCAAAATCCCAAGAACCCTTTTCTGTCACACTTCAAGGAACTACTCTTCTTGGTACTCACCTCCCTCTCCTTATCATGACGACCCTCTTCTCACAACAATTTCTGAAGCAATCAAAACTCCAGCGACAACAACTGACACTTCTTCACTTAAAAATATCCTCCCTTCTCTCATTCCCTCTCATCTCATCAAACATTATCAACCACAACCCTCACTTTCTTTCCCCCAACTCTCTCTTTTCCTTCTTCAACTTCCTCTCTTCACAGCCTCAGTTTCGCCTCACGCTACAATCCTATTGTGCAATGATTCATTTTCTTATTGCCCATAAAATGCTCTCTTAAGCCCAACGTCTTCTTCATTTGGTGGTTTCTAAGCAAGGGAAGGGCTCAAGTTCTAAACTTTTTGCTTTGGTTTTGGAAACTAGAGGTACCCATTTGTCGAGAAAATTTAGCTGCCCGGTCCCCCCAAGTATGTATTTAAGAAAATGGCCTTGAAACTGTTCATCAAATATTTTATAATTTAGAGAAGATGAAGTGGCATAGTTAGGATTAATTAAACACGTAAAATGGGTTAAAATGAAAAGATTAAAACATATGTGGGCCGAATCAGAAATAATGAAAGTTTTCAAAATTTGAAATTTCGCAAAACAAGCCCCACTAACTATTCATCTCGCTTAATCGAAATTCATCAGTTGAAAACGCGATTTCTTGAACGAAAGGGAGACGCGATTTTTTCCGATCCAACACCAATTGATTTGCACCCTAAATCAATTTCTTGAACCCTAAACCGAATACAGTCGCGATTTTCGGCGATATAGTCGATTTTCGATCGATTTGTTGAACCCTAAAATCGATTTCCTTAACGTAAACGAAAACTGTGCCATTTCGGGGATACAGTCCAGATTTCGCATCGAAACTGCAAACTTTGAAACCAAATTCAATCCAAAACCATGAGGGACACTGACAATGAGGAGGGAAGCCCAACGCCACTTCGAATCCTAGATTCCAGTGGCACAAGCAGTTCAATGGCTGCTCCGGTGGATCATCTGACCATTGAAGGTGGTCACACGAGGAGACGCCGGCGGCACAAGAACAAAGGGAAGAACCAGCAAAGGGGTCTGCAAGCGAGGAGCAGGCGAGAATTCAGGCCAGAAGGAGGATTCCGGAGAGAATGCAGGCCAGGAGGTGGATTCCGGCGATAATTCAGGCCAGGAGGAGTGCCGGAGGATCCAGGCGATGAGGAGAGGCCGGCGAAGATAGGGTACGTAGTTTGGGAATGTTGCTGTAATTTCGCTTAAGCGATCATTTGTATCGCTTAAGCGATATTTTGTTTTACTTGTGATCGCAGCAATGATCGCTTAAGTGAAAAAATGATCGTTAAGGATCTGAGATCTGGGCAGATGATTCTGCCCAGACCAAAGATCGCTTAAGAGATCATGAGTGTTTACTCTTGTCGCTTAAGCGATCTTAGGTCTGGGCAGAATCACAGATTAAGAGATTCTCAGTTAACTTTTGGTCGCTTAAGCGATTTAAAATCGCTTAAGCGATCTTGCATGGACAGTAAAGATCTCTTAAGCGATCCGAGATCACTTAAGCGACTACAGTGGTTTTGGTTTATTTTTGTGATGACATTTATTTATATCGATTGTGCAGATTGTGCAGACCGTAAACTGTAGAGAGTACGGTTGGAGCCTATAAGTGAGAAGGTACCACTTCCCTGCAAGGGTGACGGGGTGGTCGAGCTGGGAGGTTTTTGACAGAATAAGGGCCATTTTAGCTAGAATGAGGCACGGTGGAAAGAGATTTTGGTGACACTTGTTTCGGTCAGTTTAAGAATCGGAAAAAAGTGGAAAAAGTCATTTTGGGGGCAGGGAGTGCATTACATGTTGATGCACTCAGTAAAATGCAACAAAAAAGAAATGTGGTTGTGTGGAGGGAAAGCACTACGGTTTGGATGATGGAGTATGCGTTGGTGATGGGCTTAGGATGTGGAAAGTGCCAACTAAGGCGGAGGCAGACGCAGTAAGGAAGAGTGCGGGAGCCATAAACTTTTGTAAAAAGGTTTTGAAAGGGGCAAAGTCTATTACAGGAAAGTTTTAGAGAAGAGGCTATCTACAGTTCGGTTTAGTGATGCAGAGAAGATAAAAGTGTGCTTGATATTGTTTTACATTCTTCTTATTGGCTGGTGACAACAAAAGCTATTGAGAAAGATTGGTTGCTGTTTGTAAGTGACTTGGAGTTCTTTAATTCTTATCCGTGGGGACGGATATCATTTGAGCGAACCATCAAGAGCCTGAAAAAATCAGACATGGCCTTAAAGCATGCCGAATGGGGCGGGAAGGCTAAACCAAGCACGTATAATTTGTTTGGCTTCCTATGGGCAATGCAGATAAATATTAATAGCTCATGTTATATTTTTATAATATGTGTGTTTGAATAATGACAGGACTGTTTTTTTACAATGTAGGCTTGGATGTACGAGGCCATCCCTGTCTTCGCTAAGGCGGGGGGGAGGAGCAACAATGTGAATGTGCAACAGCAATTTCCTAGGATGTTGCGGTGGCATGTCGAGAGCTGTAACCATTGGGATTATGGCCAATTAGAGATTGAGATTCAAGCAGCGGGGTAAGATTGAAGGATTAAGCTTTTGATATGCAGTTGCTTTTTTATTTTGCTTCAATCTGATTGATTTTTATTTTATTGAGGGAGTGTCCGTCCCTTTTTGACCCTATTGGGATGAAGCGGAAGAGGACTATGTACATCTTTCAGAGCAATGGAGGATGAAAGGGATGAACAGATAGACCGCCTGATGCGGGACCTAAAAGGGGTCACGCATGTGATGGCAGTTGCAGGGCCATTGCTTGACAATGTCGTTGATGCTGGGATAATGAAGCTTAGGGGCCGAGGATGAGGAGGAGAAGAGGGAGGAAGAGGTTCGTATGCCTCAGCAAACCGGTACAACAAGTACCGCTTTGCCGAGACATCGGCGTAGGGAGATGAGGTTGTTGACCTCATAAACGGGCGTTTGAGAGTTTTACAACAGCCGTTTATGCAAAGCTTGAGAAGATGGAAGAAACAATGAAAAGGGTGGAAAAGAAAGTGGATAAGGTGGGAGGAAGTAGGTACAATGGAGGGCGAAGTTGGTACAATGGAGGAGGAAGTTGGTGGAGAATTAAAGGAGTTGAAGTGCAAACTGGCTTGAAAAGAGAGAGCGAAAGAGCAAGTTTG